TGGGACCTTTTTGCAAACCCCAAGTGTTTTCAATGACTGATGTGGTTCGCTCAAGAGAGCTGGCTAACATCATTTTCAGGCACATGTACTTACTATTATATGCGCAGTGGCAGGCCTGCTAGCTATCCTCGTTAACCCCCGTCAAAGACCGAGGTCCACTAAGCAGCTGGCCCGCTCTACTCTGATGCTCACAACCACATCATCATCTCTTTCTGCGTGTTCTGTGTAGGCTTTGTTACTAACTCCATGCGCCACTTTAGGAGCAGCACTGTCAATTGGAACGCAACAGCGAATCGTGCAGGACTATCCCCAGCCCATGCTCCGAAACTTCACAACATTTAATTCGTGGATAAAATATTGAAAAAAGTTCCTTGCTCGTGCTGGGAATCGAACCCACGACCTTGCGGTCGTGAGACGGACGCTCTTCCACTGCGCCAATCCCGGCTCGAAAGCATGAGGAACAATAACATGAATTCATGAAAATCGAAACTTTTTCATTTCAATAACAAAGTAGGACAGTGTCCAATAGGATGTTTGTCTCTGAAAACTGATCATATTGATGGTTATCCATACCGGTCCAAATTTGGTACGAATCGCACGACTAATAGCCATGAGATGTAGATGGGGACATTTAAAGTGAGACACGCTGTATACCGGGTGTAACAGGATCATGGTACACCAAACCATTTTGATGAGCTCAATTTGGTGATTAATCAGAAAATTTCACATTTTTGGCAGAATTCATTGTTTTAGTATCACACCTGTCGATATGAGTACATGAGACTTGTTCAGAATAGTCATGGCACACTAAGATGAATAATCAAAAATGGAATTTAAATCAATGTTGAAGTTTCGAATATCACTTAGGTGGTATCATTGGATTCAGAAAATGATGTAGATTTCGAAAATGCAATGATATACAGGTTGTTCCATATAAAAATCTGATGTTATAACCACTTTCGGTGAAACCAGGAGTAGAAAATAAAACATGTTTATGTCAAAACATGACGTTCATCAAGTTGATGGGTTATTCCCAATTTTAATCACTTACCTCTAAAGCTGAAAGAGAAAAAGGGGGTGTTCCATGATCCTGTGACACCTGGTATATTGAATAAAAGTGCATCACTCTACATACAGTGTATGTTTGGAAGCGAGAAGATATGTCAAAATGAAGTGATATATTCAACTGATTATAAAATTACATCTCAATGAATTATAATATATTTGAGCTAATAAATGAATTGAAGAACTCAAATATATCGGTATTTATTTCACATACCAAATCCATATTATGATTGAACACTCGCTGATTCAAGAATTTCCATTTTTCTTTGCTATCGTTATATATTTATAACGGAATCATCAAGTTCTCTCTTTCATTTGTGAAATATTTGCATCTACCTTCTTGAATTCCTACTGAAATACTTCCACCCTCGTTTTCATTTTACTGGAATCAACAAAAGATGCTTCCGTAGGGCTGAAATATAGGGACCTACCTCATTGAAGGTAACACAAATTACTCATAGAGAAAATACAAGTAGGTACCTATAATCATCCCAAATTCAAAAGCTTTTTCCTAAGACGCTCGTATTCAAACTTTTCGAAGAGCTTTTGGAAAAACTTTTTCCTGCATCCACTGAAAGTTCTGGAACAGTGCGTTTTTATCGACTTTCACTGATAGAGTGAATAAATATTGAATGTTGATTTTAATTTAAAATTTGATCCGAACAAAACCATCCGCTATCTACAGCGTGTCCCACTATATTAATCGGACAATTCTTGCCAAATTTGGACTGGTATGAATAATGATCGATATGCCGTGCGTTTTTATTCAAATAAAAATGGGTCGATTTCTCATGAAATCATTTCAGGCATTGTTTACGTGAAAACTGACCACGTTATATCGTTCATAATCTTGAACCCACATATATGAATTTTCATGTGATTTTTATGAACATCTAAACAGCATTTTTGCGAAGGTATATAAATGATTATTCACTCAGAAACGGTAAGTTCAGCAGAAAAAGTATATCTTGTCTTTTCTTTCAAAGCATAATTTTCTACTCACCGAAGTCATCGAACGTTCTGACATTCGAAATTAATTTGAATTCATTTCTGAGGCCTTCAATGAACAAATAAAGCCAATCCTGGTAATTTGAAATTGGTAAAATGTTTGCACATGGATATTCGAAATCATGAGGAATAATATCATGAAGTTAGTTTCCCTTCAAAAAATGCCTATATGATTTCATGAAAAATCGCCTCTATCAATTTCAATATGAACGCACTGCACTTTCTCTGTTAGACTGATATATTGATGGTTATTCATATCTGTCCAAATTTGCTAGATTCGTCCTACTCAGAGATTCATCAAGTCAAGTAGCTTGATATTTTAACAAACTACTTGACTTGACTTGAAAATTAAGCTCGTGGCAAATTACGTACTTGACTTGACTTGAATTTGAGATATTTATTACTTGACTTGAAATCAAGCTACTTGATAATACTTGATCTTGATACGCACGAGTCGCACGGCGTATATTTCTGCAAGCTCGCTCACGCTTAGACAAAATACGGGGGTTCCCCGAGATCCGAGCTGACTGAATCGATCGCGCAGTCAGTCTTACGATGACATTTTCATTTCATCAGTTATATACAGGGTGACTCACGGTCGATGGTAGAGGTTAGACGTTCACGTTTATGATAGGAACGCAACGCAGGATTTTTCTGAAAATTTCGCATCTCACATTCCATCACCGGTACTATCGATCTAATATATTTTCAAAATCACGACGTTGCCGCTTCTATAGAAAAGTAGGAACCACTTTGTTATTTCGAATTGAACACCCTGTATTCTATTGCATTTTCAGATTCTCCTTGAAGAGTTGATTTCATCGATACATCACACTCGGGGTATAGCGGAAAGAGAGTGCGAAAAATCGAGATTTGTCAACTTCAGGAATTTTTTGTGTATACGAAATTTTCAGAAAAATCCCGCGTCGCTTTCTCCGTAAACGTCTAACCTATAACATCGACCGTGAGTCACGCTGTATAGATACCCAATAAAACTGCTGAAAATCAAGTAGCTTGATAGAACTACTTGATTTTTCGAGTACTTGATAAATAATTACTTGACTTGACTTGACATTGAAAAACTTTCGCTTGACTTGAACTTGACTTGATTTCCAGTCAAGTCAAGTCAAGTAGCTTGAATATCAAGTCAAGCCGTGAATCTCTGGTCCTACTAATAGCTGAGATATGGGTGGCGTTTGAAGTGAGACACGCTGTATAATGAATGTGAAAAATATTGTATCAACGATGGACATTCGCAAATAAATCTGTCAATCAGACACTGATTGCAAGATCAAACTAGCAATTAGATCAATTGTCTGCTGAATATTATATCGATGATGCCCTAATTGCAAAATGAATTTTGTGATTAATCTATTTATCAGATGAATCTGTCAGTAACGTCCTATATAAATGAGATGTAATCTTGTAATTAGTTTAATTAGTGCTATCATTTTCAGTTCCACCAGTTGGCCTTACTATATAGAGTGTGCTATGACGAAGTTAATGTCCCAGAATTTTGCCGAATTCAGCCCTGAAGGCTGTGACCTGTTTTATCAGGAATATTCTGATAAAATGGCCTTTGTAAATAAATAGGAAAACTCCATAATGTCACGACCCATGGCTACAGGGTGGTGTCTCGGGGGTGAACTCGCTTGGGAGGCCGAGAAATCAAAACAGTTGTTCGTTATAAAGCTACAGTTTATTGAAAGAAATTAGTTTCATTAGTGATTTTAACAAACGAGATTCAATGCAAACGTAAATACATCAGACTTCGCAATGAAAAGAAACATTTGATAGTTTGACAACATAACGATTGTGACCTTTATTGTGACAGTAGTACTCACAAAATAATCTCTAGCAGATGCAGGGGATGAACCATAGTGAAGGTTAGCTGATCAGATCCAAACTGATGCCTTGCCTTATCGGCTGTTCGATATTTATTTAGAATATTTTGATATAGTCAACGTTTTACTCCATATGCGGGTATTTCATTCCGGTTGAATGAGCTACCAACGTGAGTGAAACATTATACTCGTTTCCTTTAATCGAATGTTATACGATAAAATGAATAATGAACTTTTATTAATGAATCTTGAATCAATATAATTTTGAATAGTAGCTATGAATATTTTTGGTACCTATCGTGACAATATGAATTTTTCACATCATTTGTCAAAATAATGTGACAATCATACGTAATGTAATTTGTCCATCTCAATGGTATTCCAAGAAGATATAACGCCTATAGTAGTGTATTTTTCGTTTACAATATTTTTGTTGCAATATGACTGCTGAAATTCTATAATCATCCTAACAGAGAACATGGATTCCATCCTTCGTGTATGGAAGAATAATTGTGCTGCTACGTACTATCATCGAATGATTTGCGAATGTTTGAAGACATCCCAATAACTGAGATAAAGGAGTCGTAATGTAGTCGCTCTGACTACTGTAATTGTCACATTAAACGAAGTAGTACTAACTATGTAACGATATTATAATAAGTGTCATCTTTGTTGATTGCACATAGATGTTATGTTGGTATATTTTTGTTCTGAATTGATGTCATCTTGAAACTGTCTTTTATTTGTAAATTTTCTACACCAGCTTTGCCATCACCTCTATATCTTCTTCAGAATCACTCCCTATGGCGATATCTATAGACTTTCAGTGATTGGTCGATGACGACCAGTATGTACAATTTGGAAACTTTCTCCTTGTACATTTTTCTCCAAGTTTGATTTCTCTTCATTATCTTGCTTCCTCACTGGAGTTGGCTGATTTGTTATCTTCACTGTCAGTTCTTGAGTACTTGAGTAGGTAATTTCTCTGCATATTCTTTCAGAATGTATCGAAATGTATCTGTTCGCTTGTTTTGCTTTGGCAAAAATATTTTTGTTAAGAAATCGAATACATAACCAACAAAAATGGTCACATGGCATGACATATACTGTGGTCATTACGACCAAGTTGAACTTTTTGATAAAACTACATTCCATGAGGACAGTACGTAGTCTTTGAAACGTTATAAATATCTATACCTCACAACCACATACATTATTTGTCTCAAAAACGTCACAACGACTGAATTCCAGTTATACTTAACGACACATACAATTCATTTACATACAAACAACAGTACGATATCATCTGGAGAATTCTTAATTGAACGCTTATAATATCTATGCAGAGACATCCTCATTCATAATAACCTCTCTTGATGTCATCAATCGCACATCAATCGCACATCAACTTTTAAGTCGTGAACCATTGCAAATATACAGGGTGTGGCATTAGTGCGTCGGAGCTTGTTGACTATATCTCGATCATTTCAAAGTTATTAATTTTTTTGTCGAAATAATGTCATCTGCAGATCCGTACCGGAAAAAACACTGTAATCACAATTATGAAATTTAAGAGATAATAATCATACAATCATTCGATGGAAAGATGCGTGATATTTCTGTGGTATTTTCATGCCCTCAAATTACAGAGTGTGGCTAACAATGTTATTTCAATTCGGAACTTTCGGAAGTGATTTTTCTCGAGTTTTTGAAATGGAACACCCCATATAATTTTAGGCCATTTGGTGTAAAATCGAAGCAAGAACATCTTTTATCTCAACATCCATATAGATATTCGTAATCATTCTTGAATTATTGAACTCCCAAAAATTTTAGGAAGGCCATTTTCATCGATACACATTCTCATCTGTTATCAAAACATCAAAATTACAATTAATAATTTATTAAACCTGTTTTTTCATTGACAGAATTGATACCAGAATCATAGCAAATATAGAAATAGATCATATGCTAGTTATTCACGAAGTGAAAAGGAGCAAAATTCCCATTTTGCATAATTGTAAATAACTATCCCGGTTCTGTTTCTAATGTTCTATGAATTCATGGGATATTTCAAAAATATTTTTCCTATTTTTACTTTGTGTTTGCTTCAATTCCGCTTTGAATTTTTTCAATAAAAAAACTGGTTTACTGAGTAATTGATTGGACTTATGATGTTTCATTAACAGATAGGAATGTGTATCGATGAAAATGGCCAACCTGGAATTTTCAAAGTTCAATTATTCAAAAATGGTTACGAATATCAATATGGATGTCGAGGTAAAAGATGTTTCTGTTTCGATTTTACACCAACAGGCCCAAAAATACATGACGTGTTCCATTCGAAAAACTTGAGAAAAATCACTTCCAAAAGTTCCGAATTGAAAAATCATTTCTAGCCATCCTGTATGATTTGAGGGCATACGAATTCCAGCAAATGATATTATGTTTATTCTCTCTTGAATTTAATAATTGTTACTACAGTGATTATTTCGGCATGGATCTGCAGATGACATTATTTCGACAAAAAAATCAATAACTCTCAAAATAATCGGGATATGGTCGAAAAAATTATAGGACTGGATGAAGGTCACTGGGGTGACTAGATTTTTTCCGGTGCCCCCTGTATATGCGGCAATAATTTCTAGTTATGGACCTTGTTGTCTCATTCACATTCGTTTTTGAATCAAGTTTCTAACTATCAGAGAACTCGAGCAATTGAGCTCCGACGCACTAATGCCCCACCCTGTATAATATGTGGTCTTTGAGACGGTACAAGTAGAGTCCCTGTATATACCTTGAGGTATATACAGGGACTCTAGATATAAGGAGTAATTATGTTAATTTTATGTATTTGTGCTACTTGGGATGAGGATCTCAGGGACATGCACCCAAGAGTGTTAGCTGATTTGTTTTTCACTGTGTTAGACATTTTTTTTCTTTCCAGACGCTAAATTCTGGGTGGGCCGCGGCCCGAAGCCCTCCCCGCAGGGCGTCCGTGTGCCCGACGAGAACGGTAAGGAGACGCCCCTGCGTAGGTACGACGGCAAGACGGTGGTGCTCACCCTGCCTGGCGACCTCACGGTGTTCGACATCGGCCATTTTGGCGTGTGGTGCGAGCAGTTCACCGTCGACTTCGGCCACGTGACCATCCCGCAGGGGCTGAACGCGCCGCCGTCGCTGAGGATGCTGGGAGTGAGCCCGCAGGTGAGGAGGTTGGTGTGTACAGGGTGAATGTTGTTTATATTTTACTCAATAGCTATCTCAGTCAATATTGGTCCGACAAAAACGTTCAATTGGTCAAAAGTGAAGTATTTTGTATGCGCATTGAGAATCTAGTAGGTACTATAGAAAATAGGAATCGAGTCATAATTTTTGCCGGTCACTCAACCGAAAAGATACATATAATGATGAAGATGGAAAACCCTAATTTCGAGTGACAACGGAAAATGAAAAAACTACACCGCCCCGTGTGAGAGTCGAACTCACAACCTCTGGGTTACATGCCCAACGCTCTGCCAATTGAACTAACGGGTCATCAGTCGATCAATCGGCTGGGAGCTCGAATTCTCATCACACACCAAGCGGCAGAATCCTTCCAATTCCCGAAGTCACTCGAAATCATGCACTATTCGAAGCATCGCTGGCAGGATGGCATTGTCTTTCCTTGTATACGGAAATGTCCGAAGACAATCATATATAGAAGTCGTGTCATAATTTTTGCCGGTTACTCAATCAAAAAGATAAATATATAATGATGAAGATGGAAAGCCCTAATTTCATTTTCCGTTGTCACTCGAAATTAGGGCTTTCCATCTTCATCATTAACTATAGAAGATGCCAAGAAGCATCGTTATTTTTGTTTCGGGTTCACAAACTTTAAACTTTTGAATAATTGCAATTCAAAGTGGGATAATTGTGATATTTTATGAATAACTACATCCTTCCTAATGTTGCTTCCTGTAGCATATTTTTACTACCAAACCGATTAAGTTCTTGAGAGAAGAGAACGAGTCCAAGAGAATGGAGGCGAGATATACCCCGTAGGAGACTACGTCCTACTAAAGGTTCCTACTATTGATGTATGCAGTGCGCATGACAGTCTTCCTACGAGGAAGCTACTTACCTTCATTGACAGAACACGAAACAGTAAACACGCAAACACACAACATTGCAGTCAAATGTCAAGCAACGAGAAACATAGACATACTATTATTATTATTATGGGATATTATTCATCTAAAACACTCCCCCTCTTCAAGTTCGTTGCTACGCATTTGACTGCGACAGTTGTTTACAAAATATGAAAATTTGAAAATTATCAAACATAAGTACGTTTCGAAACATAACAAAACACACGAGAATCTTCCAATAGTTATACATCATTAGAAAACATACAATAAACAATCTTGAACAAACAGAAGTGCATAAAATTCAACTTGTGATAACGATTGTGATTTTTGTTTCGGGTTCACAGACGTTTAACTTTTGAATTCCAATTGTAGGTGGGATGATTGTGATATTTTGTGAATAACTACATCCTACCTGATATTATTGCTTCCTGTAGCATATTTTTTGTACCAAACATAATAATGAGGTTAAACGAACGAACGACAACGTTATTGCGAGGAAGCAACAAACCTTTAAATTCATTTCACTTGATTATTTGGGGTTTTCTCTCCTCGTTACTATAAAATGAAAATATGAGTATTATCTCGATATATGTGTCTTCTATGAGGCTAGCTACTTCATTCACAGAACACAAAGCACACAAACACACAACACTTCAGTCAAATGTCAGGCAAAATATTCCCGTGCTGCATCTAGCATCAAACGAATTAATCTATAAATCTGCTCACTTCAAAGGATTATCACAAGAGTCTCATTTCTGCTTAATATATTTCAGGAAATTATTTCCTAGACGAACAAAGTAAGATACTACACTGAGAAAAAAGTTGTGGCCATTCTTAACCATAAGAAGTGCAATGGTAAAGTTTCTCTAATGATCACAGTGCAAAGGTGCCCGTATTCGTGTTCCGCATCTCAAAAAAACCTGAAATATCGAATTTTGGAGTGATACTTTCAGAAATATTCATGAATTCTGAGAAATTCGATTTCCATTATTTAACTTGACCACCATGTATCTCGAAAACGGAGCAAATTTGGACGTTGGTAGGTTGCTTCAAATCGGCTTTTGACCTCGGGAATATTTGTCGAGAGTTTGTACAGACCTTTCAGGGACACCCTGTATATATTTGAAATCAGACGGAAGAGCGCGCACCGCTTAGAAAAATAGAATGCAGTGTTTCAAAGAATACTAGTTCATGTAAAGTGTTTAGGTTTTCAATGCTTTTCTGCATTTTCTAGTAGTAGATTCTGAATGCGCATAGACATACTTCATACTTCACGTTTGCCCATTTGATCGTTTCTGTAGGACCAATGACAACTGAGATAGCTATTGAGTGAAATATGAACAATCACCCTGTAAAAGGTGATTCAAATTTCCCGCCCTTGGCTAATAACAGGAGAAAGATGATTGCAAATGCAAAGTTTGGCAGAGGGAATTTGAATAGCTGTATGTAAGGTATATTTTTTCGTATTCAAACATTTTCTAACGTTTTTGAAATGGCGGTAATTTCGCCAGAAAAATAATTTTCACACAAAGCTACCATTTTCCTCTCATATTCTAGAAGAACATATTTGTTTAAACAATTGTCATTTGAATTTTTGTTCTTTCTTCATTTGGTTGATTGCTGTATATACCGGGTAACACTAACTCATGGTATACTCTCCTTTTCTCTTATATTTTTCTATCTATATTTCTGAAATTAAGAACATCGAATATGCTCATGGTATACCCTTTCATCGGTTCTCCAGCTATATTTCTGAGAATTGGAAGATCAGATATGCTCACTAGAGGGCACTTTCTCACATTTTAGGACATTTTCTTCATTTTTCGGGTATCCTAGAAGTGACATCAACTTTCGATTTCCAAATGGAACACCCGGTATTCTATTGCATAATCAGTTAGAGAATATTATAATGAATTCAATAATACCAGGTTTGATTGGATTATTTCGAACGATTACGAAGATCTTCGCGTTCGAAGATTTCATGAGCTCAATGAGTGTGACAGAGAAATAAGTTTCGATATTGTGATATGGGAAATATTATCTCTCACACACAGGTTATATGACTTAATTGCAATGAGACCATTTCGGATTTTTGTCTGAATGAGAATGCAAATTCTCAATTTCAGAATATTTTATATTTCATTTTCAAACTCGTGTGTGTTCAATAGATATAATTCTATATTCGTCGTGGCATATAGCCAGGAAAGTAGTTGTTTTCTATTGAATAAACTGAAAAAGAGTTGATATTCTCATCACATAGAGAATGCGAATTCTCAATGTATTGCTGTATATAAATATATATCCATTTTTGTATGTTCTCAATTTATCTCAGAATATTCCTTTTCAACATTTTCATACCCAATCAGGGGGTTCAATCTTGAACGATGGAAACTTATGATTTTTTTCTACAAACGTCAAAAAATTACAAGGTTCGCGCATTGATGACAAACTGCGAAGTGACACTTTTTTTCAGTTTCCTACGTTACCATGATACCTTGCACATAACAATGCGCGAAGTAAAACAGTGCGCGAAGTACCTACTTCGCGCATTGTAATGTAAAATTAATGAGATATTTATATTTCAACTATATGGTCCTCAATCGAGCAAACATCCATGAAATCATTCATTCCTGAATGTTCAACAATAACTTTGTTTTATCTCTTGAGCGCACGAAAGGAAATTCGTATTATGTTCGTGGAACATCGTGCGTACCTAGGGAGGATAGGGGGAGGCCTTTAAAGCCAGTTCAACACTATTTTTTATATCTAGCTGAGCATATTTTCACTTTAAAACTATATTTTTTGACGTTTGTAGAAAAAATGTTGTTTGCAACTCGAGCGCGAAATACTATGGTCATCTTGACTATTTTTTTAACTCGGCTACGCCTCGTTAAAAAAATCAGATCTCGATCACCAAAGTAGCATTTCGCGCTCTAGATACAAAAATAACTATTATAGACCTCTAATCGCAGATTCGTGATAGAGTCTCAATTCAGAATTTCTTCCCACGCCCTGTATATGCTGAATGTCAATTTATCATACACCCAAAAGCAAAACCGTTATAGTATTCTTCAGTGTTCCGTTTGAAAATCGAAAGTTGATGTCATTTCCAGGAAAATTGGGAGATGAAAAAAATTTCCTAAAATTTGAGAAAGTACCCTTTAGTGAGCATATCTGATCTCTCAGGTTCCAGAAATATAGCTAGAAATCCAAAGAAGTATAGGGGGGTTTACCATGAGTCTGTGTCACCCGGTAAATGGGACTCTGAAGTTGGTATTTTCAAATAATTCTCAACTTAACCCGCCGAAATAAAAATCATGTCAGTTGGGAAACAAATTGTTTTGTGAACAATATGAATTGGGATTCATTTTGCATTTATATTAAAACAAACTAAAACTAAAATCCGACCGACTTGATTTTTATTACGGCGAGGTCAGTTGAGATTCTTTTTGAAATAGAGAAAAACTATTTGGATGAAATTTATTTGAAAACAGTAGTTTATACCTAAAAAGTGAGGAAAGTGACACTATTAACCAAAGCGGAGTTCGTCTAGCAATCACGTGTGGAATAGTCAGTCACTTATCGCACGTGTTAGGTACCCTATTTTTTTTTCACTTAAACTCTACAAACCTACTTTTCCGCACTAGTGCGAAAAAGTGACTCGTCCAACCCCGAAATGAATGCGGAAAAATATGTCCTTTCAAAATATAGAAGAAACGATAACTAATATTTTTTCTGACGCCATTTCCGACAATTCGAAGAAGTTTGAAAAATGTTGGAATACGGAAGAATATAACTTATACACAGCTGCACAATTCGCATTTGTAGTTTAACTTTTGCTGTTAGAAGGCAAGGGCAGAAGTTTGAATCACCCTGTACAAGCTTCTAGCTCATGGGGGGTCAGGCTTCTAGTGTACACCAAGACACATACCGGGGACACCTAAAACGTCAGGATAAAAAGTATCAAAATAAAATTCACAGGAATATATTTCATCAGAATGGTATATCGTACGAGACGAAATTGACAAGAACTGTATTCTGTGGGCACATTAAAACGTAGGAATGTATAATAACGAAGCGTTAGTCGTCAAAATTGAATCCATCAGAATGGTATTGCATGAGAACCATATTCGATCAAAACAGTAATATATCAGAACCGTATTTCATCATTACCGTAATTCCACAAAATCTTATTATGTCGAGACGGTATTCTATCAGATTCGAATCGTATTATAAAGGTTTATAGAAATGGTAATCCAACAGAACCTTATTCCATACCAACATTAGAATCGTATTTCGTCAATACCTCATTGTTAGGAATCGTTTTCTTTCAGAACCATAATTCGTCGTTCAAGTAGAACATCCATCGATCATTAGAATGCGATTCTTACAGGTTGATGTTAGGAGGAAATACGATTTGCAACAACAAAATACAGTTCTGGAAAAATAAATACAATTCGACAAATAACAGTTATGATTATTCACTATCGGTGATTTACGGTAATGATAGATTACTGTTCTGACAAAATACGATTCTGACCATACGATTGTTGAATTACCGTTCCGTTAGTATAGGATTCTGATAAAATACCATTCTAATGAGATAAGGTTATGATGAATTACCATTCCTCTAATGGTAAGATGTTTTACGTTCCTATAAAGTACATCCCTCCATTTTACCAGATGATGGATTATATTATGATGTTTTACATTCCGATGAATTACTGTTGCGTTTAATTACGATTCAGTTGAAATACCATGTTGATCAAATATATTCTGATACAATACGATTTTGGTGAAATACGTTTTAACGAATTAGATGCAGCAAAAACATTTAGGTGACCGGTCGATCGCGACTAAGCATCCCACTTCTACTAGCTACACCATTTTCATCAGTGGCGCTCTGAATTCTTGGGCGTATATGACATCACTGGCAACACGCGATATCTCTGCGAATGGCAATTATTTCTATAACAGTTTGCTGTACATGCGACTGCTACGTTTGCGAGTGTCAATTTTTTTATTTTGTTATATATATATACAGGAAGGAGGTTCATTTAGTAAGATTGTTTAGAAAAAATCGTCTTCTTTCTGATGTAGAAAGGATATTTTCCTTGCTTATCGTTATGTATTAGTCTTCTCATGTTGATGTACCTACAACAGCGATTCTGAGGAAGGGCTGAAAGGGGTGAGTTTTTCATTTACTACGAACCATTTCTGTTGGAGGTACACAGTGAAGAAAAGTTAGTGAAGATAAATACTAAACATTTTCCCAGGAGAACCTTAAAGTTCACGAGTTCGCTCTCTACTTTGGTATACTAAGATTTCTAACAATTTCGGAAGTAAATATTTCACTCACGCTAGTGTCAGTTTCAACTGTATTCGGAATGTATTCCTACAGTGGTCGTAATTGAAATATATCATCTCATTAACATAAAATAAAATTTGGAATATAATGGTAGAATGATGGATCTCACACTTTATGCAGAGTATCGACTGTCTGATAAATATCAAATGACTCCTGAAGATTGATCAACTTCACACTACATCGTGTTTGAGTGGTAAAAAGAGTGAACATCATCATATCAATGAAGAATTCAATAGACCACTGATATTGGTGCATAAAAACTATTTTGTGTTCTTATCTGAGTTGAGTTAACATTTGAGTTCACATTTCACAGTATTCATTTTTTTTTATTCATTAACTCATCGTTCCCAATTTCAAAACTAAACTATTGTTATAAGCGAGATCAGTTATTGATGATCAAATCCTCCATATTTGATTGTTTTTATTTAGATTTGTCAGTAGGAACTAGAGTCACTGGATGGTATTAGTTTGATAAGAGTTCGGACACAGCTGAACTTTTGTCCTTTTCTATTTTCCATCATACAATGGTTTAAGTGAATAACAGAATGAGACATAATTATATTCTACTCTTTGTCTTTTGAATTTCCCTAGTAGCGCCTGACTGAAAGATACGATCTTAGAGGTTATATTTTCTGTCAGATAATCAATCATAGCAGTAGATGGATAATGGCAATAGGGTACAAACACCCACTTCAATTCATAGTGATACACTTCTAGCAGAACAACAGTTATACAAATGGAAAGAATGCATGTAAGAACATTGTAATATTAGAAAATATACACATATGGATATACTTTTAGCTAATTCTTTATCATATGAGGAACTGTACTCCAGTGATAAGTATGAAACATGAAGATATTAATATGAAATTGGAAGTAGGTATCTTCAATATACAGGAAGCAACATAAGTACGTTCAAGTGAAGTGTTCCTGAGACGATTTCAAGAAATAAAGTCTATATATAAGCTGGTGTCCGGAAATGCTTCATTTCGGAGATACAGAGTGTTGAAATTCAGAGAACAAATCATTCTTCGATAAACATTTCATTGGAAAAAAGTAGTTATTTTGACGAGACCTACCACATACTTGGTTTTGTAAAGTTCTCAGCAACTTCACTCAGCGCCCTAGGAGCTAAGTAACATGGATTGATATAGAAAATTGTAAATATCTCCGAAACGATAACCTCCAGCGTAATTAAGGCCCAACTACTTTCATTTGTTTCATGTTCACATAAATACCCAAGTAGGTATAATAGATATGTGGGAACATAATATTCCTTCTGAAACTGTGAAAACTGAGTTTTGCATTCATAATAAGAAATATTCCTCAATATTCTTCTGCTTTGTGAAACAGATTTTGAAATCTTCTGTTTGAAAATGGGCCTAAAATATAGTTTCATTCTAATCAGATGCTGTTATAAGAAGTGAATTTTAATGAGTACCTCACAGATTAAGCTTGTCTCCAAATTGATTTTGAATGGTTGATATTTGTTTTGGAAAATTGAATAAATGATTATCCATTCTCTTTCAGAATTGGCACAATTCTTTACAGAGCAAGTAATTTCCATAACTGCTTTTTTCTGGAAAGGATAATTATGGAATTTTATTTCAATTCTGACGTTTATAAAATTCATTGTCAAATCCAAACAATTATGAATGAAAAAGCGCGGGACGACTGTGGTGCCCTTGTCACAATGCAAGATGTGTAACTTAATAAATCTGAACATTAAAAAACCCTAACCGTTGTCATTTCTGTGTCCGAACTCTTATCAAACTAATTCCATCCAGTGACTAGTAGGAACCAATCTACAGTTCGCCATCACTCATAGTTTGACTCTGATTCATTCTGTATCCTGATGTCATTTCTGAAGGAATTGAGAGATTCACTCGCGGTTTACGATTAGATCGATTTCAAGGACCGCTACGATAATGAGAAATAATCAACAGAATGAAACACACAGGGCGTGAAGTAGAACACATTATGTTCTCTATTAGCAATGCTGCTTGGCCTCAGAGTATTTTTTCCTGATGGAAAGTCAATCACATTACAATAATTCATCTAGCTCATCATATTCGGGACATTCCTTTTTTTTTTCTTCAATCTAAAATTAGACGTTATCTAAAATGCTCTGTCCGAACTTATTGCCATAGTGGTAAAAATAATCAATGTGCTGGCAGTAAATTTTCTGTACCGTCCTGACATATCAATTAAAAAAAATAACTGTGCTAATTGAGTGTGAGTGACAACATACAGTGCTATATGTTCTTTCACATTCCGTCTGCTGCGAACATGATGCTTCTCTACTGCTTCACTTCTATTTCCTGGCTTTAGCAAATCTGATCTGCTGCTTCGCAAGTGTCTCCCTTACCTCAGAAGATGGCAAACGCCTTCTAATACGAGTTTCTGTGTTGTTACAGAAGGTACAGCAACATCGACAAGACACCATTCAGAATAAAGTATCAAGGCCATTGGTGGGGGGACACTTGCAGCCAACAACGTTCCGACCTCCTTCCCCTTTCAGTTCAATTAGTAGAAGAAACGATTATCAACCACAACAGTACATAACCCAACAAGAGGTAGTACTTGCCCAGAACCAAGTAGATCAAGCGTATAGAGCACGAGCACTAGCACTAGAGAACATCCCTGCGCAACAATTGTATCACCAGCAGCCACCATTGAACCATATTCAACCTCATATCCAGCAATATCAGGCTCAAGCTCAACATCGTTTAGATGTCAGACATCAACCTCAAGTGGAGCTGCAACCGTTTAATCAACAGCAAATTCATTCACAGTCGGGTGATCTAGTGCAGCTGCAACATCAACCTATCAGTCAACATCGTATTCATCAGTTAGGCAATCAAATCCAGTCTCAATACCAGTTGATCAATCAAGTGCAGCAGCCTCAAATCAATAATTTGCATGCCCAATCACAACTCAATGGGGTTTCGTCACAACCTTCATATATTCAGCAGAGCAGGCAGGCTCAGAATCATCCTCAAATAAATCAACCTTCCAACCAAATTCTCGATTCCAATACTCAGACCAATAGATTCTTTCAACAGCAAATTGTGAATGTCAGTCCACAACAACAGCAGCAGCAACCAAGTAATCTGGCCAGTGTCAATCAAAGACAGTATCAAGAGCAGCTAGCTTATGATCAGTATTTGCAGGCACGAAGGCATCAGGAAGAAGAATATTTGAGGAATCAATTGTCAAGGCAACACAATAGGTTCGATTCGCCTAGTCACCAAAATTTCAATTTATACGGATAACAGGGTTTCGTATTCTGTTTGAAGATATAATCCCTGGAATGAGCTTTATACTTTGTGTTAAATGATTATTTATTTTCTATTTATGAATATTTTTCATATTGGACAGTATTATAAAATTCTCACAAGTAGATATAGTCACTATTGAACATTTGCTGGCATTTTCCAGGCAAACATAATAATTATTTATACGGGGTGTTCCATTTACGCATCCGCCTAATCCAGGATATGATGAATTAGGAATTTGAAAAAAATGTATTTAGAAACGGAACAAATGTCGATCGTTCATAAACTCATACATATAGATATTCAACATTGAACAAGTTTGTGAATATATAGTTTCACTTCTCCAGATTTTTTGGGAATTGTGTCTGGTCTTTTCTAATAAATTGAATATGAGTAATATTTCAATAAGAATATTTTACGATGCAATAAAGACAAATGAGATGATCTCTTTCACTTCCAAGATGTCACTGCGTACAAAAATTTCACTATCATAGGGAAACTAATAAATGAGAAATTCGATAAATAGTCAGTCGAAATCATATCGAATTTTTACTTAGCTGATCCTGATTTCACAAAAAAAAAACATGTTCGACAATTGCCTTTGATTATCCGCCTACTCACACCTCTCTGACAGAAATTGATACATATAAGTGGGTTACAGGATATTTTCATTAATTGATCTTGAATATACCATTTTCAAATTGAGATTTTAGGAGTGCATATAATATTTTATCTATATTAACTGGAGAGGGAGCAATATTATGGTATCCATTCGAAAGAACGCAAACGGATTCTTATGGTGTTTTTGCATTTTTCTTTTTTTTTCTATGATTTCAATGATATTTTAGTCTACCATCAACTGTCCATTTTCAACAGTGATTAGACGAGTGGTGGTAATCTTTTGATAATTTCAAGTTGATGCTGTAGCTATAGAAATCTCACGAGTGGAGGAAGTCCACATGTAGGATTTCTCAGTAGCAACAAAGACAAGTCCTAATCTAGTTGAAATTATGAGAACAAAATCACCACCACCGCGTAAATAAAATTCTTCGATGATTTTCGAAATCTGAGCCAAAATTTGGTGAATTTTCGATATATCTACATTCCTCTTCTTCAAATATTTTTTAAAACAAGGTATCGATTGAATTTGTCTTTCAGGCTCTCTGATAGTGGAATTTTCAAAAGTAGTGACATTTTGGGGAAAAGATTGAAAGATATCACCATATTTTCGATCGAAGAAAACGGGGAAGAAATGCCAAACAATCTAGAGAAATGAAAATGTTACCTCCTAGGTTAACATACAGACAGTATTCATATTTCAGCCTGGGACATCTTATATGTTCTAAGTATTCTCAACTATGTATTTTCATTTATTTGGAGTCAATCAATTATAGCTCAACCCAATAAGTTCTTGCCATTTGCATCGCAGTTCAATTTATGAGGCCAGTTCTAATATATGTATTCATATTCATTTATTTTACATAATATATCGTAAATATTATTTTTAATGTATATATATTTTTTATGTAAAATTTATTTTTTATAAAATTGTATAGTTTATTTCATACTTTTGCAATAAAGCATTCATGAAACACAATATTCATCGTTTTATCCAACATTTTGAATCTTTCCTTCCTATATGAATTGTATGTCCTCGAAAACTGGGATCATCTATATTTTTGGTTTAATCATATGTTCATTGAAAACAAATCTGAAACGTCATGAAACAGCATATCACTCAACCAATGTCAGAATACCATGATATGAAGAGAAATCGAAAATTGTTCTTCATAATAGAGGACTCTCACGATTTCAGTCGAGTGCCTGTCCTATGAAGATGTTCTTACGCTGCTTCTACATACAACGGTATTTTTAATTAGTGTTATGGAGTGCATGTAAATCACTATATAATCATTTCATTTCACTCAATCTGTTTTCATTCAAGCAAGATTCATCAGCTCCCTGAAACATTTCCAGTTTCTACTCGTTTATACAATCGCACGAAAAATCTATGAAATATTTTCACACCTGACGAGAAAAAAATAAATCTCAGAAATGATCTTTCACGTAATTTGAATTTCCTGAATTCCTCGATCCAATGTTTTCACATATTTGGTCTCATATTATAAAATTCTGGACCCTACCACATAATGGAGACCATCAGTCTCGAGTCCTATATATACGCTCCAAGTATAATTGAATCAGAAACATTATTAATGAGTGAGGAAACGATGTGATTGATGATAGATCAGGCTCTGGATAGAAACTAATATAGGGTAATTCAGAATTGGATGTGTATATTTTAAGGACATATTGTTGGGGTCAAACTAAGACTTTTTCTTCATACAAACATTTGTCTAAAAATGCAACCTCTCCTAGCTACAGCCACTGTAAAATGGGCAAAAAAAATATTACCTTAAATTGTGACTAAAATAACGGATCACATCTTCTGAAGATTGAACATACCCTTGTCTCTTTTCACACTCTATTTCCTTCTTGCTTCAAAAATGATTTTCACCCCAGTTTCGGGGGAAATGGCTGGGGGCCCATCCTTTAAATTGGCCCAAATTTCATGTTACAAAAGAGAAACTATCTGACTTTGAATAGCATAATCTTGTGGGCCGTAAGGAAATTTTCAAGAATTCGGTATCTTCCATGTTTCCCTACAAATAACCGTTTTTCAGAGAATCTTAATCAAGGAAAGGGGAAAACGCTCACATACGGAGGTGATCGTATGTCGGAACGCATTTGAGACTGCTATTTCAGAGTCGTGCGGTACTGCAATATACTTGCACTTGATCCGTTATTATAATCACAATTCCAGATAATCTCTTGTTTTTTACCCAACTTACAGTGACTGTAGTTCGAACGGGAAGCATTTTAGGCCATATTATTATATGAAGAAAAATTGAGCCATCATGATCCCAACATTACATACTTGAGATATTCACATCGAATTTTGAATCATCCTGCATATTCCTCCATTTTGCAGAATATTCTATATAATTGATTATTTTTGCAGTCCAAACTCAACTGTGAGGTCTTATCAGATTCCTCAGCGTTTGAGGTGAGATGGGCAGTGGCTGGAGAGAGCATAGTTATACAACTGGTTGCGAAATTAGGTAAGTGGAAACTGAATCCGATATAGTGAATAGTCCAATCTATATTACGTGAACTCACACCAAATACAGGGTGATTCATGAGGAGACTCAAATAGCCAAATGGTCAATAGGGGAAATCAAGACTATCTCATTCATAGCCCCAATTTCGGAAACACCCTGTATATTGTTCGACCCGAATTCAATGTAAAACTCAGGAGGATCCTATCGTAATATTGATCGGATTATTATACAGGGTGGCATTGAAATAAGTGCAAATATTTCAAACACTGAGAAAGCTCGACGTTCACTATCGAATGGCACTAATAAAAAAAAATTAGGGATCAAAATAAAATTTGAGGTTAGACCTCTTCTTCCACCCACTTCTACAATGTAGTGAATCTGACGTCACTTCTGTTCAGATTTCCATGTGGTAGGCACAATAACGCGAAGTTCAATCATTTGAATTGTATATTAAAGTGGCGTACTTGATTTTTTTCTAGTATTTTGTTCAATTTTTGAACTGAAATTTTTCGTTGATTAGAAGAATTAGAAAAATTCTGATATCATGGAAATATTCCTCAGGCTGTATCATATTAATGTGTTGAATATGTGCACTTATTTCAAAAACACCTTGTATAGGTGGTAAGGTGGTAAGGGTTATTCAACAGAATTTTCTGGTACGTTTTAGGATATTCGCGCATGTTTATTATGTACTTATCTATGTTTGGGAGCTGAAAAAACGTTCCCACGTTCTTTGAAGTGGACTTAACTCAACCCAATTTGAGCATAACCTCAGTTCTTTGTGTCTAACAGTTTCGAAAATACAACACTTCAAAAATTGGTCATATTTCCCAAGAAGTCAAATTCTGAATGTTGGTTCAATTATTGAGCCAAAAAGTTATCGGAGAAAATACTGATGCTATGAAGACAATCATTTGAAGCATTGTTGTAGCAGATCACGAATGCCATTATCATCATACTGCTGCTGGTGGGTGGAATGAACTATTTGAACCATGAGCCATTGCAATTATTGCAATTGAAAGAATAACGAGAAATTATTTCATTTTCATTATATTCCATATTTCTACAGTGAATTCCGCTCTCAAGAACAATCGAAAGAGATTTTAGATAGTACTTTTGATGCAAAAAAGAATATTAGCATACCTATCTACTCATGCACAGGTAGTTATTTAGAAAACAAATCATTTCGAAAGAAATCAAACTCCGAAGTATACCTGAAACTTTCGTAATTCATTGATATTCGAAGAATCCAAGAAGAGTTCGCTATCAGCGAGGTAGCATAAATAGTTATTTATAATACAAGGGGAAAAAATAGTAGATTCTAGCTCCGCTACGTTTCGGGAGACAAAAAACAGTGACCTTAAATCTGATATTTTTTTCGTGTACAATACACAATTTTTTTCTGTGACAGGAAACCGAATCCATATTAGAAGATGATACATTATATTGAAATCAGAAAATTATCGACGTGAAATTTGAAGTTTTTGAGAGTAGTGACACCTGCGCTGCAGGCATATTTATCACTTTTGGAGTGATCAAATATCTGTCAGTCTGATTATGCGATTCAATTTTAATAAATTAATTTAGTGGTAAATACTGCCTGTAGGTTAATCGAGGAGGTGGTACATTCATTTTACTTGGTTCTTTGGGATTTTCTCTCCTCGTTTCTATAAAATAAAAGTATTCGTATTATTTCAATATATATATATATATTTGTTAAACGCAGTGACATTTTGGGGCAAATCATCTGATTTGTCCCTCTACAAATATATTGAAATAATACGAATACTTTTATTTTATAGAAACGAGGAGAGAAAATCCCAAAGAACCAAGTAAAATAATTTAGTGGTTTTTTAGTAATTTACGTCACCGCGAAGTCGAATGGAATATTAAAGGACTTGCAGTTCTTTCTCGGAGACGGTGTTATTAGCTTATTTTTCGAAACAATAGCATAAGAAAAGCTATGTGATATACAGTGTGTCTCACGTCTAATGGAACTAACCCTGTATCTTAAGTATTCGTTGGGTAAGGATCCTGGAATTCACGTGAGCAAGTGATATTACCCAAAATGCACTCTATGACCAAGTGGGGCCATCTTTAGTGATATACACCGCTCACCAACAGCCATGGAACCACTCCAATTTCCGGAAAATGATATTAGGAGGCAAACTAGGTTGAAAATCAATTCGGCTTCGAAATCAGGACGCCTAATTCACTAACTATTCATATTTTTTCTGCAAAAAATTTTAGTTCTGTAAATTCCATTTTTGTCTCGCTTTTCATCGAAACGCCCCCGTATCTTCCGTAATTATCTAGTCAGGATTGTTAAATTTCCAGAAGCAAGAAATATTCCAAAGATACAGTCAACAACGAATTGAAATTTCCATCATTGATTTACACTGCTCGGTAGCAGCCATGGAACCACCTACATGTCCGGAAAATCATATTAGCAGACAAGATAGGTTGTAAATCACTGCGGATTCGAGAACAGAACGTCTAATTCACTAAGTACTCATATTCCTCCTGAAACCATTTCAGTTCTGAAACAATAAATTATGTCTCACTTTTCATGGAAACACCCCAGTATCTTACGTAATTATCGATGTAGAAGTCTGATTTTTCAGAAGCAAGGAAGAGACCAATGACCGAGTAGGATCATCTTCAATAATACGCTGCTCGTAAGCAGCCACAGAACCACCGACATTCCAGGAGAAAAAAATTATTAAATCGGAAAATTCACTCAATGGTTTTAAAATTGATAATCAGTTCTCATCAGGGATAATCAGATAACAATCAGAACTAGTACAATCGAATAGATTATCAGGAGTGATTCAATGGATCAGAAATCATGACGGGTGTCATTGAAATGAATTATCAATGAATGAATTCGTTAATAGTATGAAGATAATCGTTACCGATAATTATGCGTCAAAATATGGAAAGTTGTGAATAGAACGTCTATTTTTCGAATCCGAAGTGATTTTCAACCTATCTTGTCTCGTGATATTATTTTCCGTATGTATCCCACGGCTGTTGGCGAGCAGTAGATATCACTGAAAATGACCCCACTTCCTCATAGATTACATTTTTGGTATATCTCCCGCTCGAGAAAATTTCAGGATACTAACCCAACAATTACGTAAGATACGAGGGTGTTTCCATGAAAAGTGAGGCAAAAATGAATTTTTCAGAACTGAAAATGTTTCAGAAAAAATATGAAAAGTTAGTGAATTGGGCGTCATGACTCCGAATCCGAAGTGAATTTCAACCTATTTTGACTCCTAATATCATTTTCCGGAAATTGGGGAGGTTCCATGGCTATTGGCGAGCAGTGTAAATCACTGAAGATAACGCACTTGGTCATAGAGTGCATTTTTGATATATCTCTTGCGCCAGCAAATTTCAGTATCCTTACCCAACGATTACGTAAGATACAGGGGTGTTTCCATTAAAAGTGAGACACACT